GCGCGCACACACACACACACACAGATAGATAGCTGTACATATCTATTTATTTATATTTTTGTACTGTTTGTACTGCGTTTACAGGTAATTCTTTTTATTTGTATTTTTTCCAGAATAGTTAGATTGCTTTCTTTGCACTGACTGGGACAGCAAATAATTTTGTTGTGTGTTTTTCACAATGACAGTGAAAGAATAACTTCCTGCGAACTTCAATCACTAAGGAAATAATGCAGTGTTCGTTGCTCTGGGTGAAATGAATAATAAAGAGGGTGGGGCACCAAAAACCTCAGTGTAACTGTAACTTGGTTGGTTGAGAGGAGGGTGGATTGATCGAAATATCGATAGTACTAATACCAATGCTGGTACTGTTGTGGGACTGATACAACCTCAATAGGATCAATACTTTGTTTCTGTCTTCTGTTTTGTTTTTTGATGAAAATACACCACAGACATACACTATGAAAAATGTCAGTGTTGACAGATAGTATCGACCGTCACATCTATTTTTTAATATCTCATAGCACTTAAAAGTGCTTTAGAGATAGGTACAGTTATAGTCCAGGTCTTCAAGAAAAAGAACACACACAGTTTCAAAACACAAGAAAAACTGGTCCTTTTTTATTGTGTTAACTAATTATTGTCAAAAGTAAAATCACAGTGATTTAGCGGTCATTAAAATGTGTTCAGAATATGCAAACTTATATTGATTTTCATGTTTCTTATAAATGATGACACACTGATTTCCAATTATATGCTGCCTATGTAATGTAATTGGTGTCTGTATACTGGACCTCTATTTACTTGGTATCGGATCAGTACCAAAATTGGCAGTACTGCGCATAGTTGCCTGTGGTTTGCATAGAAAAAACTGACTTGTCTGCAAACACTCACTAAATAACCACTCAAAAAAAAAAATGCAACACAAACTGGAGATGGGGAATGTTCACCTTCAAAGTAAAAGTTGTGCCTTACCACTAACATGTTTTAAAGGACACAGCTTTTACTTTGTAGATGAGTGGTGTGTGGTTTTCCATCCCACTCTTGACAGTTTCACTACCACTTGGCAAATAGTTGCCACGTGCTTGCAGACAAGTTTGTGTGTTCCTTAAAAAACAGGCACAACTGAGGCTATGCTAGCAGCCATAGGAGGCTCTCAGTGCAGCACCGCATATGTCACAATGGCTAGTTTCACCTAGTGACAGCAAGCAACCTCTTGCAACCCCTGACTAACAAGCAAGGGGATACTCATTTTTCCTTGACAACCAGTTGTTGCCAGGTGGTTTCCAACTTATCCCTATGTCTGTGTGACTGGGGGCCTAACTAAGTTAAAAAGAAAAGAAAACATAACCTAGACAAATGCACCAGTTGCACCACAACAAAGGCAACGAAAGTTAGTAGTCAGAGCCAAGGAGCTTACATACATGATGCAGCCACAGCTACATCACAGTTCTCTTAAAAATGTGCTTTCTCTTGCAAATGTTCAAATTCAAAAGGGTCAGTAAATGAAAATGTGCTTGAATGAAGTGAAAAAATTATACTTAAAAAAAGTGTGACGTGTGCTAACCACCGTGCTTATAGTTGAATGAAACCATAAGCACTCGCAATTAACTATTTATGGCTTTTAATGTTTCATAGCGGCACAGCGAGACAGAAATGCTTCAGCCTGTGGCTTTGCTCGGCCCTTCCAAAACATTTGAGGGTGTAAACCTTATCAAAGCACCATCAAGACCCAGCCTGTGGTGTACCCCGAGGTGATAATCATAAACCCATGAAAAATAAAATACAAGTAAAGAAAATGAGAACTATTTGTGATGAATTGGTTTTTTTTACCTACTGTAAAGCCCACGGAAGGACAAATTAGCTATCCTTCTCATGCATCAGTTACTCAGATACAGGATACACATAGGAATAAAAATATCCTGTGCTTCTGTAACAATGTGCAGTTCAAAACATTTTAAGAATTTAAGAATTGCATCATTTTTTTTCTAATGCTGCTCAAAAATTTGAATCCTCGAATCAGGCTTGTGGCAGCGAAAGAATGTGTTTTCCTCTCAATGCCTCCCAGGAGGTCTTAAGATTTGTGTTACCTGAAAAAGGTGACAAGCTACATGTTTCATGTAGCTCTCAGGGCCCTTTGCCCTCCTTGCAGCATAAGCCAGTGACAAATTCTTGTGGGCTCCAGGTCCGCGAGTGTCTTGTGATGTTTCTTGTTGTCTTTCTGAGGGTATGCCTGTGCCATCCCTACCTCTTCTTCCATGGGCAGAAAATCCCAATGCTGGAAGAATAGAAGCATTCTGAGGGCGACTAAGAACTAACAAAGCATTAACACTGGATGGAAATCTCTGCATTTTGCAAAAAACTTGTGCGAAGTCTTGAATAAATGTTCTCTCAGCTTGATACCATTAGTTCAAATTGGTTTGTACTGTGAGAACAGTTGATGTGAGAATAGCTCTATGATATCTTTACAGAAGAAAAGTAAAGCAAACATTTAGAGGCCGCACATGCAGCACATAATGCATCTGTCTGCTGTTTCAGTAGCATTTGTCATATCATCTCCTGCCAAAACTAGTTTCTTCAAAAATGACAATGTTAATCTGTTATTAAATTAGCAACATCATGGTGTTAACTGAAATGTTCTGAAAACTCAGTGTACCTTCAGATTTAAGATTGCTGTTTCTGTAACAGTGTCTTGAAATTGCCTTGGGAAAACCTGAATAACTGAACAAGTTATATATATATATATAATTAAATATTTTAAGAGTGTGTTAGGATTGATAATGAATGCAGCTGCTCGTCTCCTTACTGAGCGGCGTGTCTCTATTGCCCCTGTCCTTGCTCATCTGCATTGGCTTCCCGTTAAGTATCGCATTCAATTCAAAATCCTGCTGCTCACCTTCTGAATTATTAACAATATAGCGCCAAGCTACCTCATTGAGCTACTTAGATTATACACCCCTACTAGAGCACTAAGATCATCTTCCCAGTCACTCTTGGTACTGCCGAGACCCCGGCTGAAGACTAGAGGTGACCGCACGTTTGCCTTGGCTGCACCTGATCTATGGAATAACCTCCCCATCGCTATACGCAAGTCCGATTCCATTCAATCCTTCAAATCGCGGTTAAAAACCCACTTATTTAGCCTCGCCTTTTCTACCAGTTAAAGCTTGCTTGTTAGTTAGCTTAATGCTTATTCTTATCTTTGGTTTATTCTTAATTATTTTTAATCATTTTTAAATTTTTGACTGTTACACTTATTGCTCTTTTATGCTTTTATATGCATTTCTTTTGCTTTTGTTTTTTAATGCCATCTAACCTGCTAGCATGTTTTGGTACCTTGCCGTAGCCCTCATCCTTCCCTCTTACTTCATCTTACCCTCTTACATGTTAAGGGGCGACTGTGGCTATGGGGCGACCGTGGCTCAGGGGGTTGGGAAGCGTATCTGTAACCGGAAGGTCGCCGGTTCGATCCCCGGGCTCTCTGTCCTGGTCGTTGTGTCCTTGGGCAAGACACTTTACCCTACCGCGTACTGGTGTTGGCCAGAGGGGCCGATGGCGCAATATGGCAGCCTTGCTTCTGTCAGTCTGCCCCAGGGCAGCTGTGGCTACAACTGTAGCTGCCTCCACCAGTGTGTGAATGTGAGAGTGAATGAATAGTGGCATTGTAAAGTGCTTTGGGTGCCTTATAGCGCTATATAAATCCAATCCATCATTATTATTAAGCATTTTGGTACACCATTGGTTTTAAATGTGCTATATAAATAAAGTTTGTTGTTGTTGCTGTTGTTATAAAACCAACTTAAACCTTGTTATATTTGCATCAACTTATCTCAGAGAAGCTTTGTTGTTGAGGTTTCACAAGCCTGTTTTATCTGACTTTAACTTGGAGGACTTGTTGGAGGGAGAGTACTGCAATTACTAGTACGGAAGCCCACATTACAGATTTGATATTAAGAGACTTGGAAAGACAACAAACACGGTGAGAAATAACGTTGGTTTCCATGGATAAAAGACTTTGATGTCTGTAATCCCGATTCACAAAGCCACATAACCTCACAAGTTTGTCTCACTGTGATGTTGTCAAATTTGCCGAATTCTTAAGATTGCGTGTTGTGGGACCAGACACTTCAGGGGTGGGCTATCTTTTATTCCGTCAGCCGGTGTGTTTGTGTGATGTTGTTCTCGCTCACATTTACAAGACTATCTGATTCCTTTAGCTTTAGCTGAGCTGATAACAGCTCTGTTGTGTGCCAAATGGTGATATCTTACCTTTTCCCTTCACTCACTTTCTATCTCCCCTACCTCACTTATTCTTATCGGTGGCCACTGTGTGCGTGCTAGGACAAAGGTGCTATTTGAATTTAAGTGCATGTGCGTCTGCTTTTTCTATAGAAATATCAGTTTTTTGGGTCCTCCATGCTTTTATCACATAGGTGTGCCCGATGGATGAGAAGAGGAACATATTATGTAAACTGCAAAGCCAGCAAAAGGACTAATAATGTACTGCTTTAATGGGCTGACAGCTAAACATAAACCAGCACACATGAACGAGCCTGTTATCTTGATTAATATGTCTCAGCAGAAGGAATGAATGGACAACTCAGAGAGCCAGAGCAGCTTCTCTTAACCGTCTCTTAATCTTTTCTTTTTCTTTATCTCCTTAAACCCTTCTGTTTTTTTAAATCTTAGGCTCTTTTAATTTAGTTTTTTTTTAACAGTAGGTTTTCTGGCCATATTCTACCTGTCTTTTAATAATATCTGTGCGGAGCGCTCAAATGCACACTCTGCTTTTATCTCTCTCCTTCATTCTCTCACTTCTTTTAATTTAAACGCTGCCTTATCGCAGCAAAATGTTGTAAATATTGGCTCAGCGCAGGTGGGGAACAGCAATTTGAATACACTTCAAAAGACAAAATTAAATGTTTAACTGACAAATGAAGCGTATCAGAGCTAATGAAATGACAGTGCTCCTCTAATATGTGCCGTTGCGTGTCTCTCCCCAGGTATGTGGTCCTTCTCCGTTTCCGAGCTGGCCATCCCGGGCGCTGAGATAGGACGCATCTCCGCAATGGACGCTGACCTGGGTGAGAACGCCAAGCTGGAATATACCATCCTGGAGGGGGAGAGCGGGGACACGTTCAATATCACCGGACTGAATCAAGAGGCGGTCATCACGCTCAACAAGGTGAATGAGGGATGACAGAGAATGAGGGGTGGACAGATGGAGGGAGATATTGATGAAAGAGTGGGCAGGAGAGGAGGGAAGGGTTTCGTAAAGGTTACCACAGATAGTGGCTGAGGAGGAGAAAACCAGAGCTAGAAGAATGAGCAGTAAAAGAGCGCACATATGGAGTCATTTTGTAAAGGTAAAAGGCAGCAAAGGAGACAGGAAACAGATGATGAGGGGGAGGACAGACGATGACACGGGTAGTGTAGGCCGGTCTGTAGAGAACAGTTTTGTTTTGCCTATGAGTCGAAGCACAGCTAACAACATGCTGCCTAAGCCTATTAACCTGGAATTACCTGGAACTAACAATAATGCTATATAAACTCACACAATTCATCACTGAACAGCCCTTTCAGCGAGGACTTTAATACAGCTGAGCTGCATTCTTCTTACCTGTTTTCCTTATTTGTCTCCCGTCGAGGAAGAGTGTATTGTTGGGTTTTTTGACAAATGAATCTCCGGCTTGATTCCACTCACTGCGAATCAGCCTCTTTTTATCAGCACGTCCATCTGTTTAAAGCAAACATAATGAAATATCTCCGCAAAACTCAATCCAAAGCGTGACACATCCAAATGCAAATGCTTGCAGTGGCAGAGTTGAGTGTCATTTTTTTCGAGGCGGTTTGTCTCCGGCCTTTTAGCACATCCTTGCATGAATTGCAGAGCATTTGCATGTACAAGAGAATCAATAAGGCTCTGGCTTTCTATTTTGAGTTCAGTTGGAAAAATGCTATCATGCACAAATGATAGAACAGATCATTAGCCATGCAAATGCAGTCTATATGGATGTCATTTAAATATCTTGCCCTGTGACAGCTGAGATGTGCTCCAGCCCACCACCGACCCTAAAACTGGATAATCGGAAGAGAATGGATGGATGTATATTGTGATATACTATAAAAAAAAAGCATGGTTTGTGTTAAAATAGCTGTATTAACTGCATATCACAGCACAAGCCTCTCCTTCATTTTCTTGGTTATCAGGGTGATGAGTCCTGTAACCAGCGTGAATCCTACCACATCTGATTTTTGATTGGTTACATGAAATTAAGCCACAGCGATGCCACAGATACATTTGAAAAAAGAGATATTTTATTTCATTAACAAAAAGGAACCCAGTTGTCTACATAGACACCATTCATCAACTTAAGTTGATGTTGGTGTTCATTTTTGTAAATGATGGTCTTATTTACAGAATAAATTAGATAATAAAGCAGGGTTTGCCTTAGCGGATGGTTAGCTTGTGATTGTCTAGACATCACTGCATGAACATGCTGTCTTTGGTTTATCAGTCAGAACCATCTCTCACTTAGGGATTCATGGTTCATGTCTGCTTTAATAAAAATGGGATTACAACAGCCAAAAATGCTCAAGTTGAGGCTTTAAAATGAGAGGTTGCAGTTGTTACATCTATTCTTTATATACAGTCTCCTTTTTAACCCCAGCAAGAATCCTTCCCAGTTGCTTTTTTTTAATGCAGGCTGCAGATGGATAGATCCCTTTAGTGTAAAGCTAGAATTTTTGGTTTCTGTCATTCCCCAAGCTGCCTGCCATGCTGACTGATCACCTTTTTGCACAGGTGTATGGGCATTGTGGAAGTGATGACTGCCAGTGTGCCTTGTATCCGTATGAGGAGAGGAATCACTCATGCTCATGTGTAGTGTACATATGAGCAGGGCTGTGGGAGGCTAATATGAGCTATGGTGCTTTGATTTTAAATGAGCTCTTCAGAAGTGTCGAAATACATATGAGTCGCCTTTATTGTTGTTAGCCGTTTCTCTGACGTGTGATATCAGTCACTCAGTCAGAGAGCGTGTGCTTCAGCACGTGTTGTGCCACCTGTGTTATACTGCCAGGTGTCATACCCATGAAGCTGCAACAAAAGAGAAAGCATAATTTTGCGTGTGCTCGTGATCACATGTAATATGATCAGTCACCTGTGTTACCAGCGTAACACATTCTTCCTCTGCGATTGAGCTCGATTGCGCACGATGAGTATTAAAATCGTATCAATGAGCGGCACACCGCACAAGGCCATGTGTCCACTCACAAAAACAAGCACATATTGTAGACGTTCTTTCACACAAGCCCACATACAAAGTCCTGATGCAAAAATGACAAATACCACAGCTAGCACACCAGATCTGCTGCTGGGAATTCAGCGAAAACTTCAGGACATTAGTTAGTCTGTTTACAATAATGAGTGTACTAATGCGAAAATTCTTTTTGTTTTTCATTTACTTTTATACATTTTTTTATTAGGAGCTAACCCTGGACCTACAAAATACACACCCTCCATAGAAGGCATTGAGATTTGGACTAACATATTAGTCCAATTGAATTTACTGGCAATACACTGAGAAAAATATGGAATATTTCCAGCCACCTTGCTAAGTACACCTGTACAACTGCTCATTAATTTAGAAATCTAATAAGCCAGTGTTTCCCAACCCTTTGGAGCCACGTCACATATTTCACATTAGAAAAATCGCACAGCACACCACCAAACAAAAATGTCACAAACAGCATATTGATTATTTTTCCCAGCGGACCAGATACAGCAGAATTGGCTCGGTTTGTCCCCAGTATACCTTTCCTGCTTTCTTCTGAGCACTACTCATGCTAGGGCCTTCATCTGCGTCCGAAGTTTCTACAGGACTCAGGTCAGATTGACTACTTTTTCAGACTATTATGTAATTTCTTTTTCATCTTCTTCTGTTTTACTAGCAGTTGGCAACCCATTTAATTAGAGCAGGTAGTTGTACTGCCCTCTAGTGGAAGACAATGTAATTGTTCTGCCCGTTACTCAGGCTGGTCGCTTAGAGTACTGATCAGGTGGAACCAGACAATCTTCTACATCACATCTGATCATTTCTCACGGCACTCTAATAAGCCAATCATGTGGCAGCAACTTGCCATATGCATTTTAAAAATATACTTTTTATTGTCCTGTGTTTATGGATTTCCAAGCATGTATTGGCAACTGGGACGGTTGCAGTGCCCTCTGGCACTATTCAACATCAACACTACCACATGGTTGAAGGGTGTTTCTCCCATCTGTCTTAAAATTTTTATTTACTGTCCATTAAAAAGGCTGACACAGATATATCAACAAACAGCTCACTTCTGCTGATATATCAGCGTGTCTGAGTAACTGCTGATCCAGTGAGAGAGAGGCCAGAGGCGAACGGCCAGACTGCTTCAAGCTGATAGGAAGGCATCAGTAACTCAAATAACCAAGGTACGCAGAAGATGATCTCAGTAGTTTACTATTTAGTAAAGAAATTAAATTACTACTAATAATAATACAAACAGCAATGCTCTTTTTAATTGTACATAATGCAAAACAAATGCCATATACAGGCAGCTATAGTACATGCTATGGCTCATTGTATGCTCAGACTGTCTGTGTGTCTCTCTTTCAGAATGACTGACAGAGCACTTCTACACTAAATAGGGCTCAATTAGTTCCATCTATTAAAACTGCATAGGCAGAAATGAGTGCTTTTGACTGCGATCCCCCAGGACCCCAGTACATTTGAATGTTTAAAAAAGCACTAGTCACAGCAGATAGCAGGAAACAATGAGTCACAAACTGATTGGCCAAATAGTGACAAACTGGAGCAATAGATCAAAGCATTTCTAAGATGTGACAGACATTTTGCCTCTGGGGTCTGTGAGAACCCCCGTCACCAGGATGAGGTTTTTGTTTGGTTGTAGCATGTTTGACTTTATGGTAGCGCTAAAGCTATTTCTTCAAAATGTGTCACACTCCTCAGCCAACCCGATGAGTTCTATGCCAGAGTGCTGGAGAGGAGAATCCATCTTTTAGCTGGACAATGCGGTTTTCTTTCTGGTCGTGAATTGCTGGACCAACTTTTAATCCTCTCGAGGATATTGGAGGATGCGTGAGAGTGGGCTCATAATACTTGGCCAGTTATTCCACTGTATCCCTTTGGGAAGTTCCCTTATGGGAGCTTGGTTTGTATTTGCTGGGAGTAAATTAGAATTTTTATATTTTAGATAACTGGATGTAAAAGTCTGCACACTTTGTGCCATTAAATTCCATGAAAAATCTTTGCAAATGCACACGAAGCTTGTGAAACCTTTTCACGTCGTTTTTGGGAAATGAAAACTGCAATCTGGCTAAATCTGCAGAAAAAACAACAAACAAAACAAAACAAAACAGAAAAAAAAGCTATTTGTATTCCAAAATTGATGTTGTTTTTATTTTTGCTGGTGAGTGCCTGACTGCACAAATGCTCTGGTTGGTGTACTGGAAGCCATGCAGGTGTGCATACCGGTGTATGCGTGCGCATGTAAACACTTGAAATTTCTGTGAATTTATCATTGTGTCAGTTCTCAGCCTTGGGTTTGCAGGATTCGTTAAAAACAATCCGCACCCAGAGGTGGCGTGTAGAGCAGGATTTCCAAGTTCCTTTGAAGAGACGCGCCGAGGTAGAGCAAGGACTGGATACGGTGAGAGGTGCAAGAGAAAGAAATCTAAGCCAAGGACCTGGGAACAAGGCGAAAGAGTGCGGGTGAAGAAGGAAAGAAACGATGGGAGAGCTGAAGGAGGAATGTTAAATTGAGGTCCTGCGAGGCGGTGACAGCAGAGAGTGCGGTATAACAAGGGGGTTAGAGTAAGAAGCGACCGAGAGAGATGCGCAAAGAGACAGGGAGAGAGACACAGTGACAGCCATGGAGAAATTAGCTCAGCTATACGCTGCGAAGCACAGGAGGTTAGAAATACCCATCCGGAGAGACAAGCAGACAAAAAAAGCTGAAAAAAATAAATAATAAAAAAGAGAGGTACAGTTATTAGGAGAGGGGGAGACAGCATGGCGACAATAAGACAGACTGAAGAAGAGTTGGGGAGAATAGGTGAGCATCAGCATGTGGTGAATGGTGAAAATCACATGTAAACAATTACACTAAAGACCTCCCACCTCCAGCATT